TAATTCAGTTCCTCTACAGAGAACACACTTTAATGTGCAAATGTTAGTGCACAGTTTCTATTTATTTGCTAAGTTTTAATACGTTGGAAAAAAAAATAAAACATAAACTTTAAAATACTTCAGATGTTTCCAATATGCTGAATGCAACCTCATTTCTAAAAATGTTGGGACGCTGTGCAAAATATTAAAAAAAATAGAATGCAATGATGTGCAGATCATTTAAACACTGTATTTAATTGAAAATAGTGCATCACACAACAAATGTTGAAACTGAGAAATTTTATCTTTGTAGGAAAATATATGCCCATTTTATATTTGATGCCAGCAACACGTTCCAAAAAGGGGCGGGGCATCTTTAGCAGTTGTATCACCTCTTCTTTTAACAACACTTTGTAAGTGTTTGGGAACTGTTGATATCAACTACTATAGATTTGAAAGTGAAATATTTTACCATTCCTCTTTGATATAAGATTTTAGTCTACTCAATAGTTTGGGGTCTCCTTTGTCGTATTTTTTATTTCATAATGCAGCAAATATTTTCAAAGGATGACAGGTCTGGACTGCAAGCAGGTCAGTATAGACATGGAATCTTTTACAACAGAGCCATGCTGTGGTAGTACATGCAGAATATGGTTTGTCATTGTCTTGCTGAAATAAGCAAGTCTTTCCCTGAAAAAGACGTCATCTGGATGGCAGCATATGTTGCCAAAACAAAACATCAGATGTTCAGGTCACCCATGCCATGTGCACTAATGCACCTCCACACCATCACGAATGCTCGCTTTTACACTGTGTGCTGATAACGAGCTGGGTGGTCTTAAGCTCAAATGATGCAATGTCTATGATTTCCAAAAGGAATCTCAAATATTGATTTATTGGACTACGGGACACTTTTCCACTTTACCTCAGTCCATCCTAAATAAGCTCAGGCCCAGAGAAGGTGGCGGTGTTTCTGGATCCTATTTATATATGGTTTCTTGATTGCATGGTAGAGTTTTAACTTGCATTTGTGAATGCAGCGACGAGTTGAGTTCACAGACAGTGGTTTTCAGAAGTGTTGCTGAGCCCATGCAGTGATTTCCAATACAGAATCATGTCTGTTTTTAAGTCAGTGCCACCTGAGGGCCTGAAAATCACAGCCAGCCAGTATTGGTTTTTGGCCTTGTCCCTTGCATACAGAGATTTCTCTGGACTCTCTGAATCTTTTAATGGTATTATGTACCATAGAAGATGAAATCCCCAAGTTCTTCGATATTTTACATTGAAACATTATTCTTAATTTGTTGTACTATTTGCCCCACAGTCTTTCACAGAGTGGTGAACCCCTCCCCATCTTTACTGCTGAAGGACTCAGCCCCTCTAGGATGCATTTTTGCAGAGGTGTAAAGAGTACTGAAAATCCCTACTCAAGTACAAGTACTGTTACTGTAGTGACAATTTACTCAAGTACAAGTAAAAGTATTAGTAAATAAAATTACTCAAGTAAGAGTAAATAAGTAGTTCGCTGAAAAACTACTGAGGTACTCAGTTACTTCGTTACTTTTTCATATTTCTGCTGTCACAACCTGAACATATTTCTGAGCTGAGTTGGCTACATGACTGGAAATAATCTGTACAGAAAAACACTAAAGCTAAAGTTCTGAGAGCTGAGACTGATCACAGTTCGCTCTGCTACTAAATATTTACCCAGCTTTCTGTGAGCTGTGTAAGGAATGAGGTTTACATTAAACTGCATGCATTTCATGGTTAGACGATTATATAAGATGTCCTAGTTTATCTGTTTCCAGTAAAGTATTTCAGAATCCCTGAAAGACTGTGCAGAGGATGTTACTGTTTCAATAAGTAGATTTAAGAGGAAAAAAAAGTCAAAATTATAAGTAAATTGCTTAATTAATAATGTGATTTTAGTGACGGTCCTGCTGCCCATCATCTCCCTGGACTCTAGCTTACGTTAATAGGTGTGAACCTCTCCCAGCCTTCAAACTGTATATTTTCACTGATATCTGTTCAGAATATTTACACCATTAAAATCAGCAGCAACATCAGCAATTTACCCAGCGTTGATTTATTTCACTAATCGTGCATTTTTCACAGTTAAACAGCTACACAGCCTCTCACAGTTAAAGACAAACACCAAGGCAGAGAGAGAGAGAGAGAGAGAGAGAGAGAGAGAGGGCGGACGGGCAGGGGGGAGGGATCAGATCAGGCCAGTCAACGACAGCGTGACAGAATCACTGCTCAGAGTTGATAAAGATCCTGTATTAGACTAGATTTCTTGTCTTCACGACCGTTTACCTCCAAAACAGCAGCTAAACTAGGCTGTATTAACGGTAACCTGTGGGCTGTGGGGACACCTGTTAACTAAAGTAGCTGACAGACACTAATAAAATATACACAGCAGATTTCCAATGTAATAAACAGCATCATTATAAAAGAAAGAAGAAACCCGTAAACACGGTACCTGTTTAGCTCTGTAGTGTTTTTCCTGCCGAAGCTGCTGTTTTTTGATTGAAAATCTTTTACATTTAAATGCCTTTCGTTTGTATTAGTTTCTGAGCTGATACGCTCATAATTTATTTTTATTCTGTAACGTTATGAAAATTAAAGTAGCGAAGTAAAAGTATTTTATTAAAAATTAACTAGGCTCCCGAGTGGCGCAACCGTCTAAGCGTTGGCCGTATCATCAGGAGATCGCGAGTTCGATCCCTGGTGATGCAACAGCCGTCCGTAGCCGGGAGTCCGAGAGAGCACAACTGGGTAGGTAGGATGGCTCCCCCTCTCCCCCCACCACTCAGCGCGATGCTAGTCAGCGCAGGCGTCTGTTAGCTGACGTAACAGATCTGGCGGTTGGCGCTTTCCTCCGAGCGCGTTCGGCTGTCCAGTGACGTTGCGTGAGCGGCAGCTCGAAAAGAAGCGGTGGTTGGCTTCACACGTCTCGGAGGAGGCCTGTGTTAGCCTTCACCCTCCTAGCGTTGGTGGCATCGTGTGATTGGGGGAGTCCTAACTAGCGGGTGGAATTGGAGACGACTAAATTGGGGAGAAAAATCGGGTAAAAAAAAAATTAACTCAAGTAAGAGTAAAAGTACTGTGATTTAATTCGACTCCAAAAAGTACCGTTACAGGGAAAACTGTACTCACAGTAACGAGAGTAAATGTAATTCGTTACTTACAACTCTGCTTTTTTGTACCCAATCATGTTACTGACCTGTTGCCAATTAACCAGCTGGAGGTTTTTTGAGTATTACACAACTTTACCAGTGTTTTGCTGCGCCGTCCCAACTTTTTTGGGACATGTTGCTGACTTCAAATTCAAAATAGGGTGTAGATGCACATTATTCCATTCTGTTTTTATTTACATTTTGCATGAGATAACAACTTTTATTATCTCGAGAAACAAGATAACTAACTTGTCATTTTAAGATAACAACTTGGTTATCTCAAGATAACAATCCAGAAAATTACTACCACATGGCCTCTCTGGACTGCTGTAGTAAACAGCAATCATTTAATCAGAAATTAATGGCTTGATAAGATTTAATAAGAGCATTATAAAGACATGATAATGTTATTTTATACTGAAGTTATTATTATTTTTTTTTATTTAATTTAAAACAAAATTAAAATTAGGTAGTTCAGTGGGCAGGTTCTTCACTCTTTTTGTGTCCCTGTGTGTTTGTTTAACTTCCAGCAGATGCATATTTATACATTCTTACCAACATTTCCCTTCACCTGTCTGTCTGTGTGGTCTCTGTAAGCTTCTCTCAGTTCACTCTGCTTTACAGCTTTGGCTGCTTTTCATTCATTTTTCATTCTGCTTTCATCAGGTAGGCTCTGCTCTAATGCAATTGCAAAGAAATAGATGGCTCACTCTCTCATACGAAGTTATTTATACATGTACACATTATATATGCACATATACACATATTATATATACACATATACACATTTTGTCTTTAACTCTATAACCTTGATGTGTTCAGTTAAGGAATACACATTTTTATTTCTGTATTTCTGTGCACTTATGAATAACACAGTGTCTGTGTCAGCTCAGGTAGCACACATAGATGTGTTGTAATTTAACACCCGTTTTTAGAGTGTAAAACTAGCCAGTAAAACCAGTTCATAAACAGCTGCTTCAAAATAAAATCATTGTGTTCAGCTATTCCTGAATGTATATTCACTGAGTCTGAATTTTAATATGTTTGTAAAAGATTGAAACTGCACACTTTAAGCAAAGATGGTTCTTCAAAGGTTCTTTAGTACAGGCAATGGTTCTTTTTAGAGCTATGAGTTCTGTATAGAACCATTTCATGCTTAAAGGGTTCTTTGCATGGTGATATGGTACTTGAGATTGATGGAGAATGTGTTGTATATGGTACTATATAGCACCAAGCAGAGTTCTTCTATTGCTACAAGCTTCACATCATAACAATAGCAGAGCCCTGCCAATATGAAATATTGGCACTGGTATGCTACAGCACTGATACCTCACAGCACAGCTCCACCTCCGGAGTATTATTATTAGATATTTGACACAATTATGACACAAACACTCATTATTTACATTCCACAAAGAAATATCGCTCTGATCTAGTGCTGCTGCATTTAAACGCTGCTAAATAAAGTATCGCAATGCAAAACCCTCAGGATGCCATTCACATTGTGAGGTCAGAACTAGCTGTGGTATAATGCATAATATATACACAACCATTTAACCATGAATTGGTTCTAAATAGAACTATTCCCTTTACTGAAGAACCTTTAAAGAGCCATCTTTTTCTAGAACTTTCCATCAAATTTAAAACATAACAAAATTTCTCTTCTTTTACCAACAAATACAAATGTGGTCTGGATTGAAAGTTTCCACTTAATTTCTGTGCTTGTTTCAATGAGCTATGAGTCAGAAAAAATTCATATAAATTTACAGCATGCTGTTTAATATCTAGTGATAACCGTGACTTCTAAGTGTTAGACTGACATGTCTGTGTGTGTGCTTGCAGAGTGCATGTGAGACGCACGGACAAAGTCGGAACGGAGGCGGCGTTTCACCCCATAGAGGAGTACATGGTGCACGTAGAGGAACAGTTCCAGTATATGGCCCAGCGCATCCAGCTGGACAAAAAGAGAGTTTATCTGGCCACTGATGACCCATCACTGCTACAGGAGGCCAAAAATAAGTGAGTTATAACAGGAGTAGGTATATACATACACACACACACACACACACACATATATATATATATACACACAATATATACATAAAAGAAACCCTGACATTGTGCATACATAATAAATCCACATCTTAACACAGTGCAAACAGATAAAACACAAGAGCAGAAGGCATTAAAATCATATTGAAGTATTTACATTTAGTGGTTTGCATGTGAACAGCAAAGTGAAGAAAACGCATAGCACAGAATCCGTCGTAAATAAACAAGTGGTGTGCTTATGATTGGTTGTTTGTTATCATATTTTTTCCTCAGGTACCCAGACTATGAGTTTATCAGTGATAACTCCATCTCGTGGTCAGCTGGACTGCATAACCGTTACACAGAGAACTCTCTGAGGGGAGTTATACTGGACATCCACTTCCTGTCCCAGACTGACTTCCTGGTTTGCACTTTTTCCTCACAGGTATGCAGATGTACACTGACTGTCCACTGTAAGTGAGACTCCTACTTTACAGGTCCACTACACAGGTGTATAGATATGGACTCTAGCCCTTCCTTTAGGCTTTGTTCACACAGCAGGTAAAAGTGGCCCAAATCAGATGTTTTTCTTCATATGTGACATAAATTTGTTGTCTGTGTGTCAGGGTGAACAGCAAAAATCACACTGAATCTGACATTTTCAGTTCCAGTTTGAGGCGCTTTCATATATGGTACTGAAATCCGATATGTATCCAATATGCAGCAATGCGACTCAGTCTGAACGGCCAGATCGGAATTCATGTGACTTTTACATCAATCCAACTCCACATTTGTTATAATTTCTTGCTCTGCTGAGATCTCATAAACATTTGGGGTGATGTTTCTATACAAAAGATTAGATAAGTCTTATCCAAACCCCTCCGTGTTTGAAGAGATTTCGAAAGAAACGGCTGAACATGGCTGTAGGAGAACGAGGCTGCAGCATCAACGAACAGTTAAAAAAGCAAAGTTAAAAGAATCAGAGAAGTGACCACACCCTTTTTATGGCGAGCTCGAACACATTCTGGGTGATGAGCCCAGCTCTCAGTCAATGAAGCTTCATGATGGCTCCTGTGATGCTGGTGAAGATGAAACTAAAGCCTCCAGGAGCAACTGGCATTTGTTGGCAGTCATGATTGTGTACCTCTGGATGAGCCACGTGAAGCAACGTGAAGCAATGTTCTTTTGCATACGCGGGTCAGTTTAGGAGCGTGATCTGTTCAGACTAATGTCGTATACAGGTCACATTTAAAAGAGTGTAAACAGCCAAACAAAGAAATCAGATTTGGTAAGAAAATCAGATTTGGGCCACTTTTACCTGCTGTTTGAACGTAGCCTCATTGCACAGTTTATCACAGGTACCCCCTCTAAACATCTGTGATCAACAATATAGGTAATTACACCTGTGTTACAATCAGAAAAGCCATTTTCAGTTAACTCTATCACACATGTAATTACATACCAGAAAACGTAGTTATAACTACCAAGATACACTTGTGTAATTACATGTGTAAAAAATGTGTGTAACTATATAAGCTGTACTACTGTAATCTATCTGTAACAGTGAGCACATCACTCATAATTACATTGTTATTACATGTATTAATGGTAGTTACACAGTTATTACAGGTGCCTAATATAACTCATGACCAAATATATAAATATTTGAACAAACTGTTAGGAAAAATTTGTCTTTCGCTTCTTCTTTAGAAACTGTGCAAATTAGAATTTTTGCCAAATTATCGGTTTAAAATTTTCTTGTATCATGTCTCAGGTTTGCAGGGTGGCGTACGAGATCATGCAGACGCTCCACCCAGACGCCTCCTCCTTCTTCTATTCTCTGGATGATATTTACTACTTTGGAGGGCAAAACGCTCACAATCAGATCGCCATCTACCCGCACCAGCCCCGAAACACCGAGGACATCCCGCTGGAGCCTGGCGACGTCATCGGAGTGGCAGGAAACCACTGGGATGGCTTCTCCAAGGGCATAAACCGCAGGCTGGGCCAAACAGGCCTGTATCCATCCTACAAAGTGAAGGAAAAGATCGAAACGGTGAAATACCCCACTTATCCTGAGGCGGACAAACTGATCACGTCACAGAGGAAGAAATAATGAAGGAAACGTGTTTTTCTGTCATGACAGATTGTTCTCAAAAAAAAGAAGCAAAAGGTTTCGTGCTTTCTGTTCCGGGGCATTGTGTTTGATATATGACAAATGAATCAAAACGGAAGGACCTGATGAGTTCACTAAGGAAAACGAGAGAGAGACCTAGAGAGAGTGAAGGAGAGAGAGGGAATCTTTTTTTTCCTACAGGACTGTGTTGGTTTTTTTTCCTTTTTTTTTCCAAGAGGTTGCTCAGATAAGTGATGACACATAATCCACAAGAGCAGACACTGACAGCACACGAGCGTGCGTGTAGATTGACTCAACCTGACATGACTCTGCTGGATGAAGCTGAAGCAGCAGACTCTCCCACACGACTGAAGCGCATCTCTGTGTTAGCACATCAGCGACTCAGAGCGATTTAAAAAAAAACCCCAAACACCTTCTCATGCTTGTTTTTTAAATTATTTAATACTTTGAGGCAGTTTTGAAATCTGTTCTGGCCTTTTAACTCGCTTCTTCACTACTCTACTACTCTACTCACTTCTCCTGCTCCATGTAAAGTTTCCTCACTCGATTACCTTATTAATGCCTCGCCCACAAATGTGTTTCATCTTAGCTACTGTTTCTAGGCTGCACAGGCTTTACAGAACACTGGTAAAAATCCCCCTCAGCGTAATTAACATAAACAAAATACATCTCTTTTTATAGTTATTGTCGCTAATAACTATGTAGTACATATAGTTATTAATAATGCATGTAGTTGCAATGCAACTACTGGGGATGTATTCACTGTAACAGATGGATTACTGTAGTACAGCTTATGTAATTACACATGTGTACCAACTTCAGTTTTACTTATGTAATTATACAAGTGTATCTTGATAGTTTACAGTGTTTTTTTCTTGTGTAATTACACATGTGAATAGTGTGAATTGCTGTTTTTCCAACAAGACTTTTCTGATTATAAAAAGAAATGTGTAATTACAAATATTATGAGACTACTTGCATAGCATCTGCACAGGAAATGCTAACTTTCCGTACATTTAGCTTGCTGTAGTAGTGCTCTTGTTTCATGATGGTAATCAAAGCTCTGGCTTTAAACCATTTTTAGTGTAATGGTCTTTAAACAGCAACAGCACATATCTTTAACAGTAACTTCTATGTAATTGTTTTAAAAATAAGGGTTTATTTTATTATATGCTTCCAAAAGCAATGTTTGGATTGGGTCTGTAACTTTGCTGTACCTACAGAACAACTACACAGCAACCGTCCACTTATTTTACTTTTACAGAGTTACAGAGTGGAATATTTGTATTGTAACATGGTATCCAGATCAAATCACATGGATTAATACCTGTCTGTAATTTCATAGCAACTACATAAAGATAAATGCTCATGATCTGTTGTTGCTATTTAAATACTGTCACATTATAGAATAATTTGAAGCCAGAGCTTTGGTTACCATGTCATGGCACAAGCACACTACTGCAACGATCTAAATGTTAGGAAAGTTGGCGTTTCCTGTGCAGATGCAGTGGATAAACTGTCATTATGTAGGTAATTATAAGGTAGGTTTTGGGAAAACAGCAAACTCTGTTACACATGTGTAATTACATATGAGAAAACATGCTGTCACACCTACCAACATACGCTTGTGTCATTACTTAAGAAAAATCTGAAGTTGATACACATGTGTAACTACATAAGATGAACTACTGTAATCTATCTGTAACAATAGATATACCACATATAGTTTAGACCAAATACATGAATAACTGAACATACTGTTAGGAAGGATTAGGTGTAGATTAGGTTAGGTTAGATTAGATTAGATTAGATTAGATTAGATTTACTTTATTATCCATGAAAGTGAAAAGCTTTCTTTGGCTTCAAGTTTAAAACACATGAATAGGAATATACGTCATTTTCACTTAGACAAACTTTACAGAATGCTGGTAAAAATCATGTTCAACCTAATGAGAAATTGTAGCACACAGCTTAGTCTGTGTCAGACTGCATTATGTTTTTATTTGGTATAAATGAAAACATACTTCAGTCACCTTTTATTATTATTCTGTTAAAATAGATCAATCTAAAGAATTTCCGATAGTGATGTACATTACGGTCCCAGTGCATCCCGCAATAAAAGCAGCATAAAGTTCCTTTATACAGTGATAGGAAACACAGTAGCTCACAGAAAGATCCAATTCCACACGCTGATCCATTTTACTGACGAATGTGCTCATGCATGCTCACAAGCTGCTCTGGGGGCAGATTTTAATCAGTGGATAAGAACAAACACAGACATGACAAAGAGTCTGCAATCTACATAAGCTGTACTACTGTAATCTATCTGTAACATTAAATACATCACCAGTAGTTACATTGTTAGGACCAAATACATGAATAACTTTACATACTGGAAGGATTAGATTAGATTAGATTAGATTAGATTAGATTAGATTAGATTTAGTTTATTATCCATCACAGTGGTAATTTGTTTAAAACACATGAATAGGAATATACTTAATTTTCACTTAGACAGACTTTACAGAATGCTGGGAAAAATCATGATCAACCTAATCATCAATCTCACTGTAGCACACAAATCGGTCTGTGTCAAGATACATTATGTTTTTATTTTGTATATGAGTATATTTGTGTATTATTTTGTATAATACACTGTTAGGGAGGATCAAGTGTAGATTAGGTCAGACTAGAATAGATTGGACTAGATTAGACCAGATTAGATTACATTGGATTAGATTAGACCAGATTAGATTGTCTTAGATTAACTTTATTATCCATCACAGTGAATATTTGTCTTTGTCTTTTTTTAAAAACACATTAATATGAATGTACAGTCATTTGCAAAAGTTTGAACACTCCAGGTCAAATGCCATGTTTTGTTGAAAAAAATTATTTAACACACCCTCTGCAGAGAACTTAAATTCTGCTCATTTTCGTGCACAATTTTTTGTTTGTGATTAAATATATTTTGTAAATACGTTAAATCCAGCAAATAAACAGTAACTGTGCATTAAACTGTCATTTGATCAAGGGTGTCTAAACTTTTGCATCTGACTGTACTTCATATTTCAGTCACTTTTTATTGTTATGCTGGTGAAATAAATCAATATAGAGTTTCCATAGAGATGTAAATTACTATTACAGTGCATCCAGCAATAAAAGCAGAATAAAGCTCCTTTAAACAGTGATAAGAAAAACAGTAGCTCACAGAAAGCAACGCACACTGATCCATTTTACTGACCAGTGTGCGCATGCATGCTCACCAGCTGCTCTAGGGGGCAGATTTTAATCAGTGGACAGGGACAAAGAGTCTGCAGTCGAGACATTAGGTTTGATAAAGCCTTGTCAATAATTGTTGTCAACTTTCTACTTACCAAACCAGACAACCCTCAATCTTAACAGTGTGCTCTTTCACAATAATTATTATTTCTAATTAATAACACAGTAAATGTGTCAGTATTGTGTCTGTTAATGTTAAAGTTTATTATTAGGTTGAACGGATTTTACTAGCAATTTGTAAAGTTTGTTCAACCTAGCAACAGTTGCTAAGAAAGAGCACATTTGTGGGCGGGGCATGGATTGATCTCTTCCTTCATTCACTGGTCACTTGCCTTTTCATTGTTTCCCACCACCTTGTGCTTTATCACAGTGTCAAGTGTGTAAGTGAGTGATCCAGCACATACAACGTCACATTTTTTCAAAAAAGTGCAAAATAGTTAATGTACAGGATTGAGCCTGTATACGGTACACTCAGCACATTTGATATAAATTATCTTAAAGAGAAATAAACATCCTAAAGACCTTTACTGCATCGAAGAATCTGTTCCTCATATTGGACAGATACACACACTGGGACGCAGCAGCACTCTATTGCCTGCAAAATTGAAATTTGATTTGATTATATATATATATATATAATTATATATATATATATAAACCCAATATATAATTTTATGTTTTATGTTGACTTTTGTCCACAACCATCTTTAAAAGGCTAATAATAAATATATAATATCTAAACATAAATATCATGTAATAACAACAAAAACAACAACAAAACAACAACGATAATAATAATAATAATAATAATAATATCATTACTGTTGTAATTAATTTACTAAACAGTAATAACACAGTAATAATTTTCAGTCAAATTATTAAGCGGTATTCATTTTTCAACATAATAGAAATAGATAATAGAATAAAAAAACAAACAAACAAAAAAATATATATATATATATGTATACACACATACACAACATGTGAGATTTAATACTTAATATACAATTATGTCTTTTATGTTGACTTTTGTCCAAACCCATCTTTAAAAACCCTAACTACAAATATAATATCTAAAAATAAATGTCATGTAATATTATAATTGATCATAACTAAACAGTAATGATCTTCTGTTTTACAGAATTCCCCTCATTTCATGTTCATTTATTTAATTTCCAGTCAAAATATTAAGCGTTATTCATTTTTCAACATTTTCAGCAGAAAAAAAGCAGAAAACACATATTTAACAGAAAATTACCCAGAAGCCTCAACAACTAAATAATTCAGTATTTATTGTGTACATTTTTACATTTATTACAGCCTCCATTCTTTTCAGGAGGCTCACTTTCAGTGTCTTAAAGAAATCTGCAGACACACCTCCAAAGTTCAGTCTTAGAAGTTGGTTTAATATTTTCTGCTCAGAAATATCCTGAAAAATAAATCTCTCATACTTAATGGCTGTTTTGACTGGAAATTAAACCAATTAAATATGGTCTCTGACTTTTGCACAGAACTGTATATTCACAGTTTTACATTAATGTTGACTTTTGTTCAAAATCACTTTGGAAAAACATAATCAAAATAATAACAATAATAATATAATATTATCTTAATAGATTGCAATTAAAATCAATTATAATCAAGAAGTAATATTCAGTCTCATGGTATGTACCTTATGGACTGATCAGGCTTATGAATATGATCTTATCTTAATGTACCATGTGATTTTTGTACAGAGGTGCAGACGCTATAGTAGACTAACTTTACTCAGTACTCCTCCAAACACTCCTCCTTTTAGTAGCGATGTTTTTATCCTTTTGTTTTTATTTGTTTTTAATTTATGCTTTTTACATTGGTTTATTTGCTGCATCTCTTTCCCAACTTTAAGAGCTGACTCTGAGATTTGTATTTATTTTATAATGAAGGATAATAATGTTCTCTGTCATGGGAGATAGTCTTCAATGAAACAAAAACTGTTTTCGTACTTTCTGTTCCGGGGCATTGTGTTTGATAAACCACAGATCAATTAAACAGGAGGCTGTAAAGACTTTGCTGTGTTTATTGGTCATTTGGGTTGCTTTGGGCGCTAAGTTCACTCTCCACAAACAAAACACAACAGATTAATTATTTGCATACAGTAGATACTACTCATCTTTCAGTAACTATGATGAAATTAACACCCTACTGAAGCTGGATTGGTTTTATACAGAGAGTTTTTGTACAATTTCTGACAAGATCTGTGATTTTAATCCAGTATGAATCTGCAGTGTGTGTAGTTTTATAGTCTGACAGTAATAATTGTGGAGTGATTTTAATCCAGTCTGAATCTGCAGTGTGTGTAGTTTTATAGTCTGACAGTAATAATTGTGGAGTGATTTTAATCCAGTATGAATCTGCAGTGTGTGTAGTTTTACAGTCTGACAGTAATAATTGTGG